GTTCCTTAATTCTTAAGAGTGTGTCTCTGCGGTACGAGAAATGAGTAATGATAAATAAATAAATAAATAAATATTAATATTAATATTGTGGAAAGGAAAATAATTGTGGTAAACGTAAACTTAAACTAAATCTGAAGGGTCTGCAAATTCTCTTTAGGTATGTCACGCTTTGCTTTCTCTTATATGAGATGAAACAGAGGAACATACCCAACAGGCACAGAGAGGGACTGGCTCTGCCACCCCCTGCCCCTTATCTGACTCCCCCACACGTGTGGTGGCATCTAACTCGGAATCTAACCCTGGTTGGGGAATGGCAAGGGATTGGTCAAACCAAATATGCCACTCATGGGTCCCACATTTCCTATTGCTGCCTAAAATCTTACTCCTCTCAACATCAACTACTTCCGTCTTCCCCTTCATTTATTACCCCATCGCCCCCTCTTCTATTCTAACTTCTTCTCATCAAACCTATGCTGCCACCCTTTTCTAAAATAATATTATTATTGCTAATACTTCTTACCTCAAGTGCATACCATGTGTCACTCCATCACACCCATTTAGATTAAGGTTTTTCATTAAAATAAATAAAGTGCTAACTCGTACTATATTTCATGAATAAGTATATTTCACCAATACAAAAAACTGATGAAATGAAATAATGAATACTTTTTAGTTTTTACAATTCAAACTTAACTTCAACAATTTTAAGTTTAAAATGTTTAATTGATTAAGATTATGAAATCAAGAAGCGTAAACAACCAATACTCTTTTTGGTAAGCAGCTACCAATACTCTTTTTGGTAAGCAGCTAAGTAGGGTATATGAACCCCTAAATATGTATAAATAAATAAAAAATCCAGTCAAAGAAACCACAACATAATAATAGTTAGATTCTTTTAGCATGAAGACTTAGTTTATACAATTACTTAAAATAAAGCAATAGAATCGTTGATGTCATAAATGATCACCCAAAAAAAATGGAAATTGGGAAAATAAATGGTTAAAATATAGGAGTACAGGTATAAACTAAATTAAGTGGACTTTGACTGTGTATGTGTTTTTCTGTTAATAATATGATCAATTTTTTTTTCTTGAATTAAATGTTTGTTCTTTCACTTTTTATGAAGTCACTATGTGTTTAATTAATTTTGAAATATCCCATATAAAATTTAAACTTTTTAGCATCGATCGATCAGTTTATTATAATAAAATTCAACTACTAAGTCTGAATGATGAAAGTCAAACAACAATAAAACGAATATCTAAGGGATGGATTTGAATTCCAAATACGATTGCTTAAAGGAGGTGGATGGAGTAAATACATTAATTAAGATTTTTCAAAACAAATAGTGCAATTTAGGCAAAGAAACATTAAAAAAAAAAAAAAAAAAAAAAAAAAAAAAAAAAAAAACTTTTTTTAAAAA